GGTCTTACCTTGATATATTTAGCAGGACAGTCTGTGTTGTCCATGGAGCGTCTGGTCATCTAGTGTCCAAGACGTCGCCTATCAGCGCAGTCTAAACCCAATCACACAAATCACACATGCCTGGGCTTACAGCAGGCCGTATTCTTGCTCTGCCTGGCTTAAGACACAAACACACATACTCAAGCATGCATGCACCCACTCACACATGCTCTCAAACACACACACACACACACACACACACACACGCTGAGCTTTAGAAAAGGATCCTTGCCCCTAATCCAAGACTCCTTGATGCATATTTATTAGAGGGCCTGAGACGAACAAGAGAGGAACGCTGATACATAAATTTAGTCACAAAATGTAGAAAGGTGAATATTAAATATATATGTGTGTATATATAGTGTGAGAAAGAGATTATTTGAGGCCCAACCTGTCTGTCTCCTTGTCTAACTAACTCCTTTACAGCCACCTGCAACCTACTGGGCCAAAAGGCACCATGCCAGGTACAGTAGTCCGGTCCGTCTACTTAACCTTCACTGTGTGTGTGTGTGTGAGGAGCGACATTAAGAGATATAAAAGAGGGCAGACAGACAACACAGTCGCTGTTACATTGACATTAAATTATAATCACTGTGTCCTCTTACTTTGTCTCACCCACACACACACACACACAGCGTCCAGTCTCTCCTTCTTGTTAAAAGCCAGCCTGTGTGAGTGTTGAACGTCATTCCAATCAGCATCAGCTGAAGTACTAGGTTAATCCTCATTGCAACACACACAAATCCACTCTCTCACACATACACACACACACAATGGGGGAAGAAGACAGGGAAAAATGGAAGGGGAATAATGAGACCAGGTGTGTGATGAACAGTCCTGTATGGTTCAGCGGTGGGCTAATTCCTCCTGTCAAACACAAACATGGAAACTATCATAAGACTCTTTTTTGACGTCAGGACTTGTAAGCCAGGGTGGAAAGGTTCATAAGTTCACAGTCCTGCTTTGTTCCGAGTCCCATACCTTCGAACATATCCACAATAAGCCTTCACAGGATGCCTTCAAGAGGAGAACAATGTGTGGACCGCTATGTCGGCTTTTGAAATTGTAAGCCTATACTGTGTAAACATACAATGTACAGATTGCACTTTCAGGAATACTGGGAAGGGGTTAAATCTGAAGCTGACTCAGATATTTAGGCCAGCTGTTACCTGGTCACCAACCTTTGCCAAGCTCAGAGATATAGCTCTAATACCTCTGTGGACACACCTTCAAACGTTAAAGAATAACATGTGAAAAAATACACATCAACAGGGTCAGGACACTGCCATCACGCAGTTATTTACCTTAAGGATGTATAGGCAATGTGTGGAGACTGCAGTGAGAACCTGTTGCCTGCAGCTTGTCTAACTAACCAGTGCTTTGTGGCGGTTTCTGCTTGTGCATAATTCAAACCTGCTCCACTGGAGGGAAAAGTGCTGGATAAAAGCACTTATGAGCGCCTTTAGAGCTATCTAACACAGAGGTGTGCCCTGGCAATAATGGTGATGTATAAGTAGCTTCATAATTAAAACATGGCCCATGGACAGCTTTTACTGTGAAACATGAAAAGAAGGAAGTACTGGCTTTGAAATAGCAGTGGCTTAACAGAGCATTTTCCTTAGTGAAAATGAACAAATTATGAATGTAACGTTTTACTGTTACAAGTATTAAAAAGTGCAGTACTTTTGGTTTGAGCTAACAATGCTGTAGCTATTAACTTAGGCTAATTTACAGAATAACTTCGCTAGCTAAATGAAGTTAACCTAAGAGCCATTTCAGTGATGACAGACACTATAAATATGATGTGTCCAGAGAACAGTAAGTTAGTAAGAACTGTGATTTAACTGTCTTATATTTGTCAGTGTATAGCCTTACATATACTGTCACTGTGTGTAACAGAGGGTTTCATCTTACCTGTTGCACCATGAGAAGCGTTGTAAGCTCTGCCTGCTGATTGGCTGTGTGATGTCGCAGTTACAATAATTAAGCAATAAACACACACCTGTTACAGTGCGGGTTAATCATTTTACACTGAAGACATAAGAGCATAACTAGTTAGATGCAAGTAGTTATTAGCAGTGGTAAAAGTAAAAAGTGCTGTACAGATAATGTCCTTACATAATAGTAGAGATATCAGCAAAATGTAAAGTAAGGACAATAAATGATTTATTATTAAATTATTAAATTATAATTCTGGATGCATTTAACACATGTATTGTTGTTAAGGTGTATTAACAGATCAGTGTGGTGTTGTGAAAAGTGTAATATAGTACAAGTACCGGTATTTATAATAAAACAGTAAATGTACTTTGTTACTTCCACCACTGACTGTGAGCTCGAGGGCAAAAACACAGCTGGTACAGAATGGCTAATAATGGGTAAAATAATACAGATATCCCACGCCACTCATACATATTTTAGACTTCATTAATTTGGCTCTCCATCATACATGGATGATCATCTATTAGCAAAAAGACAGCAAAAACAAAAAGATTTGTGGTCCGTGCAGGGGAGATATAATCTCACGAGACATTATTGAACTTTGAAACACTGAATTATATATCAACAGGACTTTGAACTCGAGGGCCATCACACATGTTCATAGTTTCTTCTCATTCTGAGGCTTCAGCCTGGTGAGCTGAGGTGACGGATTGCTTCTGGAGGTCAGGCTGGGCACCAGCACACAACCCACCAATCATCTGAATCCAGGATAAATGAGCTCCAGGTTACACACCATACATTTTATCTCACGGCAGATTACATGAATGTATGTATGAATGAATGTAATGGCTTTATATTTGTAATACTGTTATACCTGTTTGTTTAGCAGCACTGGTGTGTACACACACAGACTGGTTCATATTTACACTTCTTTTATCAAACATCTGAAAACAAACAGTTTATGGGGAGCATTTGTGCAGCCTTTTCATGGAGATTCTAATTACTTTGAGTAATAACTTAAACTATAACTATAAACCTGTCCATCAATCAAAAAATAATCACCTTTTGACATACATGACTGAGACTTTATCTTTGCCTTTGTGAAGTTATATAAAGTACTGCAATAGTTTTTCTCCCACTTCCTCTTGAACATACTGCGAGGGTCTGGGAGTGGCCTAAAGCAGGAGAGAGCAAAGTAAGCAAGGAATGAAGGAACAAACCAAACAGGCAAACAAATCAAAACCCTGTCCTGACTCAGCTGTCCTCGTCTGTCCCGGTTCACCTCAGAAACCTCTTTGTCTCCTGGGCCCGACCACAGATGTCTTCTCTCCTCACCCTATATCCTTACACGCACCCAACTCCAGTATACAGTTCATTTTTTGGTAGTACAAAACAAAATCTTTTTATTTTGGAGGTTGTGGTTGTCTTCTCTTGCCTCGTCATCTCTCACATTTGTCACTTGTTAGCAGTGATTAACCGCCCCCCGCCCCCTGACAATCAAAGGAAAAAAACAAAACATATTTTGAAACCAGGGATTTGCCAGCTAAGATTTATACACTCTCCTTTAAATGAAACCCAGATAAAAGAAAATGCAATTCCTCTGGGGGAAGAAATTGTTGGGCAATCAATCAACTTACCAACAGCTGACACTTAAATTTCACAACACCATCTATCTAGCCTCTGTAGTGAGTACATTTTTCAAAACTACCATACTTCACTGTCACGATAATTCACATGTTAAAAGAGAGTTGTCTTTGAAGTGCACGTCCAACCATTCTGTGGCCAGGACAGATGGAGGGAAAACTGTGAGAAAGTAGATAAGTATATTTAAAAAAAAAAAAAAGACGAGGTAAGCTGCAGATGAAGGCAAAGAAAATGTGAGTGCCAGGCACAGTACAGAGGAGGTAACACGTGGAGGATAAGTTGAGAAAATACAGTTTGATGGGTAGGAGGAGGTAAGAGTTAATAGTTTTAAGTACTACTGTATTATGTACAGTAGTCTTAACCTATATGTTTTAATGTTTTTAGGATTATTCTGATGATAATTCTTCTCTGGCACACTGTGACTTTAAAGATGTTTATCACAAAGACGGAGTTATTGAAACTGCAATAAAAGGTTTCTTCACCTGTAGAAGGAGACACCGGATCGCACCGTCCTGTCACAATAAAAGCTGCCATATCCCAGGTCTCCCATCCACCTTTCAGTCAGAGATGCTGAATGTGCACGTCTTCCTCTTAACAACCACACTGCAGACAATAACTCAGCTGACAGACCAACTGCTAGGGGGGTCAGAGGTCACCTTTACTTTGACAGGAGTGTCATAAAGCAGGAAGAGTTGGAACGTCATTGAGGAACGATTAGTCTGTGCAGGAAGCGCTTGGTTTTTCACCTGGCACAGCAGTGTAGCTGTTCTGTGTAGAAATGAGCTAGTATTGTTGAAGTATGACCCTTTCCTGCTTTTAACATTCCTAGATACCAAATCAGGGGGGATACAGCCAGAAGATATGAAAACAAATACATATGTGCATGCACGTACACATGGACACCTATGCTACTTTTCTGGTTTACACTGCATTGTTTGCAGAGACAGGAAGTTATGGGAAGATTGTCTGGTACTGGAGTGTAAGTGTTGTTCTTACAACAATAAATCACTGCTGTTTAGATTGTGTCCAAGAGGTTAAGCCTGGTGAAAGAGATTGAATTGAACTTGAATTAAATCTAAAAATATATTTAAAACACACACACACACACACACCCCCACACACACACACACACACACACACACACGCAGAAGTATAAGTAGCATATGGTATGCAACCTACTGTATGTCCACAGCTCACATTGCCTCATCTCAGTGTTAATGATAGAAATAAACCCACTCCACCTTTTAAGTGCCCAGGACCACATTCTTATATGTTTATATTCATTTTACCATCCCAGAAAACCAGAATACAAAAGGTGTGGCAGTGTAAACTTCCACTCTCTGGAAGAAATAAAGACAGTAGGAAAACACAGGCAGTCCAGTAAAAAAGAAAACAAAATCTTTATTATTTTGTCTAGAAGTTCAGGCTGTCTTGGAAGGAGGTGTGGGGGAAATATTGGAGAGGTAAAAGCAGCCGAGAAATAGGGCGGAGTCAAATAGACCAGAGGTTGGGGTTAAAACCTGGATTTCTGTAGTTATGCCAGGGCTCCCATTGGGTCCCAGGCAGGAAGTACAATGGGCTCCTGTTGCATCACATCCAGGACATCAGGAGAGAGGAACTTCTTGTCTACCACCACCTCGTATACATACTCGGAGAACCAATCGTCCGTCATGATGAGGTAACCTACGCAACAGACAGGGAAGACAACAAATCAGTTAAAAAATGTTATGCCTAAAATGATGGCAGTCAAGCAAAGCATTGGGATTACAGAAACAAAAGTCACAAAAGCAGGAAATCAAGAACCACAGGTCAGGTCAAACATAAATTATTGCAGTAGATGGATTTTGGAACACAATTTGGTGGTTTTAGTGTTTTGACACATAAATGAGCTTCATGTAGGGTGATGGGAACCTCTGACTGATCTAACGAGACACATTTGTAGATCAGACATGTCGGAAGCATAAATGAAATCCTAGCACAATTAACACAAACAGAAAGAGGAATAAACCCAATGACAGTCACCACAGCCCATACTTCTTATCACGGTCATGCATTTCTATCACAGATCCACTCATTATGTTGTTTTACAGGAAGAATGTTGAAAATATGACCTCACTTGATTGAGGGAAGTTTTCCAAATGATTGACAAAGATGGTATAATGTATTCAAAATTAAAAAGTTTCTTCTGAAAAAGACAAAAGCCAGACATCCAGTAAGTCCATATTTTTACCCTTCTTCCTGTAACTCCTGTAACAAATTCTATCACCTGATCTATAAGTTTTGGGAGATCACTGGAATAAAATTTGCTTGCCCAGCATTGTGCAGCCCACTGAACATGCTCATTAGTGTAGGTTCTAGGCTTTGTTTCAGTTTTATGAATATAAAACAATCTATAATCTATCTATGAAGCAAGAAATCTCTGCTCTGTGTGTGTGCTGTGTGTGTGTGTGTGTGTGTGTGTGGTGGTAGTGTGGTAGGTGTGTGTGTAGGTGTGTGTGGTGTGTGTGTGTGCTGTGTGTGTGTGTGTTGTGTTGTGTGTGTGTGGTGTGTGTTGTGTGTGTGTGTGTGGGCTCAAAATATCTCTGCAGGATCAGGACTCAGCACTAGACCTGAGAGGTTTCAACATGGCTGCTGTGTAAGTTAAAGGGTGTTGCTGTCGGGCTTTGATTTGGAATTACAAACATACCTGTTAATAAGATTACTAGAGCCATCAATGGTTTCCCAATTTCGCTAGGCATAGCCACGATAGCCCACGCATTAGCCACGTGGCGCCCCCAAGAGTCCAATCACCTGCCAGAGCCCATGTTTTTCGAAGGTGTTTCCCAGTTGTCTCCCCCCTGTCAATCCTAACCCGCGTACACTTTATAAATCATATGGGGATTTTGCCGTGTATAATGTGTATGACTGCAGATCCTGACCCAGCGCAAACAGTGCCTGGCAAAGTGACGAAGTTTACGTTTTTTCACCTCATAAATTACACAATTATTACATAATAATCACCAGCCAGGTGAATGACCCTCCCTCACCCGCCAAAGACAAGAGAATGTTTTAACCACGAGCGAGTTTATTCGCCGTGGACAGACGCTGTTTATTTCGGGCAGGAAATGTAACGAGAGAAGAGTTCGGTAAAGGACAACAAGGCGGGGAGGAAGACCAGTGGAGCGGACATGACGCTTCTCCCAACGTAGCTAGCAGCTGTGGTATTTTTTTTCCCTCCAATCATAGGTTGTCCAAAGACAGTTAGCAGTGTATGGTACGTTACTGTTGGTTTGGTGCCCCTGTAACAGTTGACTTTGGGGAGATATTTCTCTTCTATTGAAGTTGAGAGGAGAAGACCTTGTGCGTTACTCAGCTGTCCTACCGACACGCCCCTCGCTCCCCGCCGCCCGTCGGGCTTTATCCGTGCCACACTGTAGGCGCGTCATAAATAAAACGGGAGCGGAGCCGACATTTCCCCCCTCGCTGAGTCTATTTCACACCATAGAGGGACGTGCGGGCAGAATTGTGGCCTTGCCCTAAAACGCCAAAAATTATATGAAAACACAACAGTTATCATCCTAAATCACAATTCACAGACAAACCTAAATGTCCCTGAACGTCCACCTTCAACACAACCCTCATTTGGGCCATCCCATGGAAAATCAGAGATACTTAACCTCCCACTTTTCGTATAGCAATACATACTTCCTATGGGCACTACACTAGTTATATATAATGGTATAAAAAATCCTAATAAGAAAAGTAATAATTGACCTGGTTTGCAGTTGGTGTTCCTGTTAGTTTTATAATGCCTATGGGGAAAATGCATTTTGGGCTGCAGTGGATTTCTTAGTGGAGGTCCCATGGCTGGCCAGGTGGACAAACTGGCACCAAGGCTGACTGGCAGCATCATATCCAGCCATCTTAATTCCTCAATGGTCTTTAGTCTCATATGCGTTACCCGTTACCTCAAGTTATATGAGCCAGGCCTGCTCACAGTGTCTCATCCTCCATTCACTTCTACACTATTTCTGAGCCAGTTTGTACCTGTTTGTAACTGTTTTAGACGTGTGTACATCATTATCAGTACGGTAATTAAAGCTGTGAGTTTAAATAAACAAGACCACCAACGTCTCTTTGTTACGAAGTTTTCTACATTGCAAAAGAGAGCAGGGATCATCGAAATTTCAACATAGCCCTGTGCAGAGAGATTCCACAACTCAAACTCCACAGGATGCTGTTTTTTCTCCGAAAGTGAGAGTGGCCCAGCCTTTAAATACGTCTTGGCTAAAATAGCAGGATTTGAGAAAAAAAAGGCCTAAGTCAATCTGTCAGTTTACAAAAAGCCTTAATCACAACACATTATTTTATGGAAAAATACTTTAAGAACACATAATACCACTAATTAAACCGATTGTCGTTAGCCCTCTTTCATTGAAAGGGAGGAGTGCTATTAAGAACAATCCAACAGACTGGTCAAACATACTTTGTCGATGCACGCACATTTTAATTGCGTTTAAGTGCTTTTTTTCACTAAACTATTGTTTCAACAGGCAGAAGGGAGGGGGGAGAGAAGGACCCTCGCCCCTCATGGTTCACACTCCTCCACCCAGCAGTACAGTATGCCTTCAACACTTCTGCTACCACCTCTGCACGCCCACCCTGATAAAACTAAACAATGTCTGTCTCTGTCTCCATGCGTATGCGTATGCGTATGCGCGCGCGTGTGTGTGTGTGTGTGTGTGCAGTGATACAAGGTCAACATGGCCAAATCTGGGGTGGTTATGAAAGACTTCCTAGAACTTGACATGTTGGGATAACCTAATCTTGTTTTGAACGAGGTTGTAGCCCCACGCTGGAGTGATTCATTTCATACATGAAAATATGTCAGTGTGTGTGTCTACTTAATTACCAAAGACTGTGACGTTATGTGAAACGAGAGCTCAAATCTGGTACTGACCAGACACATATGGGAAGTTGGATGAGAACTGGGAACCAGAAAAGTTATTTAACTTTTCTTTTCCCCTGGTGCCACCTCTCTCTCCATCTCTTCTTTTCCCCATTCTCATGTGTTCAGAGTTGAGCAAACGAGAGCATCCCTCCTACTGTCAAGTTGACTTATCGAAGACGTCAGGCTAACCGCAAGAACGTGCCACAGTTCAAAACAACGTATTGGGATGGCGTGTCTGTTGTGTATGTGTGTTCTTCCAAGTACGCAAATCTTAGATGGCATGTTGCCTGGTTCTCGCTGTGGTATCCGTGTGTGTGTTGATGTGAGCTTCCTGGAACCCGCGTGTTGGGTGGCATGGTGGTGTGTGTGTGTATGTGTGTGAATGTTGGGTGTCATTATTTGTTTTTAGGGATAGGCTGACTGTCCTGTCTCAGAACAGATGGATGTACTGGATGTAAGCTAGAAGAGTGTGGAGCAGCCATCTTGCTTTCCAACTTAAGGAGCAATCCACAATACAGGACTATCAGCAGCCAAAACAAAGCACTATTTTCAAATTTATTCTGTCAAAATAAAAGTGAAACAATAATTCAGGTATATTAATTTTTCCAAATTTAAATAACTTAAGTGAACAGCTAAATGCCTAATAACAAGACTTAGATAGCTGCCCTGTCAGTTGCATTTTCACTGAGCATAAAGTACAGTGGAGGCTGAAAGTATGGCATTTTAATATCAGGAAATATGTGAATGTACATTAATTTTGTGTTATATTTGGAAAAGATGGGGAACAGCCTGCCGTAGAGTTGCAGTAAGACCACAGAAAAGTAATTTTCATTTCATGGCAACTGAAAGGGGACCTTTAAATGAGGTGAAGGGACAGATATGCAACTGTGGTTTGGGTGCAAAATAATGGCAATGGATTAGAAGCATACTTAAAAGCTAATGAAGCTTCCCTCTTCAAGAATCTGTTATGTCCGCTACCAAGGATATCCTTCCATCCACATTTACATCATCTTCTTGTATTTATCCAATAACAGAATCATGTTCGTAGAAAATAATAGTTTCTCTCTCCAGGTCAAACTCATTCTGAGCTCAAACCAAACTTTGAGTAATGTGAAGGAGTCCATCTCCGACTAATATCCTATCAAATTGAAAATAAAAACCTCAAGCGTGTTGCCAAACATTTGTCTGGAACGGTGTAAAAGTATGAGCTGTGGAGTGAGCAGAGTCATAACAGCAGCTGTGTGAGGGCTTAAAGATGGAGGAAACAGAAAGTTAAACCTCTCGAGAGACTCCTTCTGGATTAGGAGGAATATTAAAAAGGCCTGCAGGGAGATGTTAAGCCTTTACAAACCTTAGAAACACACTCTCTCCCTCTGCTCCACTCTCTTCTACCAATTTCTCATCTTTCCAAAATCATCTCTACATCTACTTTCCTTTGTTTTTCCCTTATTCCTATCTGATTCTACCTGTACTACGTCTCCAGTTCTGCGTCACCCCTCTCCTCTCTCCAGCATGCTCTCCTCTCTTTTTCTCCACGTGTGCCTCTTTTTCCCCTTCAGCTTTTGTCAAACAAACAAAGCCCCCGGACTCCCAAGTGAACTCCACTTCTCGAACTTTTGTTCTCAAACACTTTATTAATTTGGCTGCGGACGGGCTGGGGGCCCTGGCCTTTCCTATCTGCTGGTGTTTATGGAATAAGATATGCGTGAAATACATTTGATTTGACTGAGGGGTTTTCACATGTTTTCCCAACAGTCACTATGGTTTGTGGGTTCAAACAAATATTGGGAGTATGTGTGTGTCTCTGTGTGTATATGCTGTGTGTTACGAGACGATGCATGACTGACCTGAAATACTCTCCTATAATTTGCAGTGGAATGTCGAGCACAGAGATGGAGAAAAGAGGCGGAGAGGGTCAGAGGCAGATGAGAAACAGAGATGAAAGGATAGAGGGAATAACATCAGTAGACACTAAAGTCTGGGGTAGTGGTGTGGAGTACCTGCTGTGTTGTGCCTTGTGGCCTGTTACATAAAGACCAACCAACCTTACTTACTTAATGACATTTCCCCCTGTTGCATCAAAGGGACTTACTGGTAGCACGCCCAAGAGAGATTCAGTTTTAAATTCTTTTTGAATATGTGGTTTAAAAAGAAAATAAACAACTCAGTTCAGGCTGACCAATTAAAAAAAAAAAAAATCAGGTTCAAAAGTTCCCAGTCAACATAAGGCTTTTTGCAAGGTCAGAGTTGTATCATAGAGTTATACACAAGTCTAATAAGGGTCACATCAGAAATGAGAGAAATTTGATGGTAAAATCAATTAAACAGAACTGTCCTGAATGGTGGACAATGGTGGCAACTTTCAACTTTGGTGAACTTTGACCCATGAATTTGCAGCGTTGACCAACAGCAAGCTGTCTTCACAGCACTGATGTTAGAGGCAACAGAGAGCTTTAGAGACAAAATGGCAATGTTATTTACCTTCTCTGCCAGCGTATAAACTGCTCCACAACAGAGTAATTGTTTGCAGACAGTAATGAGACAGAAGTTGATGGTACAAATACGTCTTCTGAATAAACTGTGCGATCTATGTCCTGTTAGTGATTGAAGTTCCTTTGCTTGGAGAGCTTCCCCAACCCCATTTATTGAATGAAATGATGTACAGTCCTGAAAACAAAATGCCAGGGGAAAGTAAACATTTTCTCTTCATGTTAGCTCGGCAGCTACAGTAGATCACCATTTAGTCTTGTGAGTAGTCACTATGCCACCAAGCCTATAGAACCAAATATGTTGCCTAGACATTTGGAAGATTTTTGCTGTGCTTATTGTTGGCCTTCAGCATTTGTTCATTCTGTAACTACGTTTATGCAATTGAAAAAGGAGACGTCTGTGAGTCTTTGTGAAACAGGACACAGCCAATTACAAGTTCATAAAGCAGCAACGCAGGGGAACATCTCAGTCTAATCCCTCCTAATGTAATACACACAAACAGGAAGATGATGGTTTATCGCGAGACACCATGGTGTGAGAAAGATATGAAAGAAAGATGGGGAGGCAGGCGGAGTTTGTTGCAAAAGCATGTATATTATTTCAGGACTAGATCCAGTCAGTAGTTTTCAGTCACTACTGTGACTTGACGACAATTAGGTTGTGTCAAGTTGAATCTAAAGAAACAAAAAACCACACCCTAAAGGAAAGGACTGAAAGTAGGAGTAATGTAATAATGTGTTACCTTTGTTCCCACGGTCATCGCCCCAAGAGTTTTCCACCCTCCACTTCTCATAGCTTTCTTTCCCGTCCTGAGAGAGAGAGAGAGAAAGAGAGTACACGATGGGGAGATAAGAGTGAGAAGCCGAGACTGGAGGAAAGAAAGTCCTGACAGCTGGGGTTACTTACAACAGGGAAATTGACATCACTATGAAAAACTGCAGCCAATTAAAGCAGCGTAAACACGCAGCAAGGCTTTGATGCAATGAACCCCTGGGAAACCCCGAATGTGTGTATTCCTGTTGGTCTGCTTGTATACGTACTGTATGTTTGCATGAGTTTACTGACACACCTGTGCTAAATATGTTCGGGTGAGCATACCTTGTCTGTGACAGCAGTGAGGATCATAGCGTGGGTCATGAGAGAGTCCCCATATATCAGCCGCTCTGCCTTAGAGAGGTTCTTCACCGAAACTCCAAACACGAGCTCATGGTTGAACCTGTGCGCGAACACATACGCAGAAAAGTCACATTACACTACCTCCTCGTGAAAAGAAAGTTTAAACGCTGTCCTCGATTTTACCTACATATGGATCTTTTCAAGAGACGATGATAAGATGACATTTCTCCATATCACATGCCAACAATCCTAATATAGCTTTTTCGTAGGGGCAGAAAAGATGTGATGACCATAAAAAGCTACAAGCAGACCCTTCATAAACCTGGGATTCAGCATGGCCTAACCAGCTCACCTTTTCATTCCTTTCTTGAGCATGGCTGTAGAAACGAGGGTCCATTGAGACTCACCCTCATTTCAATTATAATCTACCGGTACAAAAAAAGATGTGTCTGAAAGATGAGCATCAACAGAGATAGCACCAGACGTTTGGCACCACGCTGGTTTTGTTCAGTGGGTAAATTTAAGCCTGGCGCCAGCAACTCAGACTCTGCTGCTGCTGCACCTGAAGGGCAAAGATAAGCAACTTTTCCTCCAGACACCTCCTGAAGGCAGATCAGAAGTGGGCCTATTCAGTTGTAAAATTGATTTGAAGATATTTTCAGTTTGGAGGAGTGTTGAGGAGGGGGCTAGAGTTGCAAGGTTCAGTAAAGTGACAGTGGTGAAAACACTATTCGGTGTGTATGATTGTATTGTTGCATTCTCCTATAAGTATTGCATTTTTCAAAACTACTTGCCCAGAAATCACACCTCCCCTAAGGGTGTTTTACTGCATCCCTAACCCTACTACATTCGACAAATAAAGAAACTAAAGCCATATTAGTAACACTACATTTATTGATTCTAATATCAGGATCAAGTGAGCAGCGGACTAGATTCATCAGCATTGCAAATAACTAAACCTGTGTATATATTTTGTAATATAAAAATCCACATGATGTCAAACCACTCCCATTCATGGTTAACACTTGATTGGTGTCTGTACCCATAACAATATAAGCATTTCAGTTATTTAACAACAGACACCGGATGTCTTTGAATTATACTCACACATTCATGTCGTTGATGCCCAGTTTGCCGTGGAAATGTTTCCCGACGTCACAACCAAACCACACGGCCTAAGAGAAAAACAGTAGCGCATGTTCAGAGTTATGAAGTCCACACATGCAGACACGCTCAAATGTTCGTACTTCTCTACAGTGACGCCCGTTTGGCACAACCTACCTCTCCCTCCTTGATGGAATCAGCGGCAGCCTTTTTAAGCAGCTGGATGGGTTGGTTGTTGTACAGAGTGCTGCGGCCCCCAACCATGTTGCCTAGGAACTCAACACTGTACAGCTTCCCGTAAGGGTTCTGAGGTCGAGGGTCGTTCACGAGGCAGACCTGAGGATGGAGAATTATCATACAAGCTCAGAACCGGAACAGCAGTGAGTCGTGACCTATCTAATGTGTTTAATGGGTCTCATACTTTGTCCTGAATGTTGTATAGGGGTTTCACGTGCTCCGTGTAGAACTCCTGAGGGGTGAGGGGTCCCATGCGATGGAAGTTCTTGTCCTTGTCCCTGTACTCCCAACTTATGGTCTCAGGAGGGCTGCCTAGACAAACACTGGCCACCCGGAACACCTGTACAGCACATGCAAACATCAACTTCTTTAACAAATTGCTGGCTTGAAGGCCGACCTAATCTGTGTTAAACTAATATTTACCATTCACACACAGTTGATTCATGAATCAAAAACTCAGAATGAACAAACAGTATCTCCATTTTAACAAAGCCAGAGGTGACCTAATTGTATGTGTGCAGGGGTAGTATACTGTTACAACACAATGAGGCTTGAATGCGAGTACCTTATGAAAAGAAAGTGCTTCCTTGCCTTTAGGGAGGTTGTTGGAGAAGTTTGCAAATCGAATTTCCCGCTCATCTAACCCCTTCAACCCAATGTCAGTCCACACATACACTCATCCATCAGTTCCTGGGCCTATCTAAACTTTCCCTACACTTTCCTCCCAACAGTGCTTCTCTCCCTCCTCCATCTACTTCATATCCCTCCATTTCCCCATTTGTACCCCACACCCTTTCCCCCTCCCTCCATGTGTGTCTTCCTGCGGTGCTGAAGTTCAGACTGAGTTCCTGTGGGCTAAATTGGGTTGTTTGGACTGGGCCGTCTGTCAATCTGTCCTTTCTAACCTCTGATATAGTTATCTCAGGAATGTTCCCCTTTTGCTTTTCACCTCTCCCATCCTCTGCTCTCCTCTCCTCTCCCAGGACTCAACAGATGCTTTTCCTATCAAATACAATTAAAAAGGGGCTGACATTAAGATGCAGTCCATTGTTGGTGGTAGATAAAAGAAGTGCGACAAGACAGTGATACATTGGTTTCACAGGAGGCCGGCGCACACGTACAGTGGGTCTGCAGCACAGTATGTACTACAGTGAGTATTGTTCTGATTGTGAGGATGAATGGTGATACATCACACTAACTGCTTCGAATATGGGTGTCACAAAGGACACATTTCCAATAGACTTTAAGTCAGAGTACTACTACTGATCCAGACAAACAAACTTCTGTCTAGCTGAGTATAAAGCCGACGGGGGGGTTATTTTTGGCTCGGCCTGGAGAAATATCGCAGCCATGGCAGCAGTTTCCCATGCTTAGTCAACACATATTAAATGTCCCTACATAAAGATGACATTCTTGCTTTCTGGTTAGGAGACACTGAGCCCTCTCAGCCCACTATTCTCACCCAAAACATACGCGCTCGCACAGAAACAAACACACGAAAATGCATAAATCCAGGCTCGGCTTACACAAGCAAGCAATCCCCTTCTTCATCACAGAAAGTCGTACGGTCACAAAAGTACAGACACGTAAAAATACACACATGCGCCGAGTCAACAAAGGCATCTGTTCGACGACTCGTCCTCCCCGAATCATTTTCCTCCTAATTCAACTACTTTGTTTAGACTGCCCTGTGGGCAATATGACATGCCAAGGTGTCCATTCCCTTGTCTGGTCTGTGTTTGACCAGATGCCCTCGGCACCTTGACAAGACATCTCTGTAACCCCTTGACCCCCACCCTTTTCTCCTCATTCCTCTTTTTGGTCTCCGTCTTCCAAGAATAACTCTGCTCTCCTTGGTAACTTTAAACCTTTCCACTCACTTTACAATTCTTCTTTTAGATGCCCTGAGACCTACTGAAAGCATCTCTCTTAATGCCAATTCAGCCTCGCGCCTACTCATCCTCCCCTGGCAGGGGAAATAAAGTAGGTGTGAGGGGAAAGGCTCGACAGACAGAGAGACCTCAGTGAGAGAATAAACAGCCACATTGACATCAGAGCAGGATCAATATTGAAACACCTGCCGCCTCAATGACAGATATACATGAGTGACAGAGAAAGAAGGAGAGAGAGAGGTGAGAGGGATACAGAGAGGTGGAAAGAATAGGGAGGCCAACCCGCGTTACTAATTAACTCTAAAGGATTTGACTCATGTTTGGATTGTAACTTCAAAGGCCGTCTCATTTATATCTTAATATTCTAAACATCGGAACTGTTAACAGGTTACAGGAAGCAGCTGTTATAAGTGATTCTGATGGAGTTTGTTAACAGGCAGCTTTCCTCTTCAGCTTCATCAGTCTCTAGCAGAAGGTCCACCTCAGGTCAGTCTCAATTCTGTGACATGGCGAGTTTGCGTGTCTTGCTATAAACAATAAGCTGACTGACTGCACGCTATTGGGGCTAACCGCAGCTAATGTTTGATAGCATCTGTGCTCCAGTGTTGACTGGCTGGCATCCCTTTGCATGTTTGTTTTACGTGACCCAAACAAACAAATCACCTGGACTTAGGAGTGAGAGTAACACACACAGTAAGCAGACCAAGCCTATGGCAACAGACAACAATGTATTTGGATTTATTGGTAACCTTGGGTAAGGTTTTTCAGTTTTCAAGATCACGGTGGGGCTGGGAAACCGGGCTTCAGCCTCCCTGCTCCCCTGGACTATCTGTGTGGTCCACAGACGCCACTGACACAGTAACAACATTGCATACTCTGCTTTCATTGTATGGAAGGATGTTTGAGTTTTGCTTTTGTGGAAAAAAAAACAAAAACACCTAACTGACTTTTGTTTTTTAATTTTTCCTGAAAAATAAAAAGTTATTGTAGCATGTGTGTATTTGATATAGCATGTTGCATTAAAAGGCATTTAAAATGAAATACACCAGCTAAGCTGCCCAACTAAATTTAGACAGACAGGGAATGGTTTAGTTTCTGTAAGCTTGTATTTTATTTTGTTTTACAGAAAAAAAAAAACATAAATAATAAATTACTTTGCTTCTGCCATATTTTAGTGTGCACCTGTCACTGACTGTTATTTCAATGATACAGATTTAACACTGGAAATAAATGCCAAATAATTGTTTTCACATAACCAGTCTTTGAAATGAACTGCATGAAATGTCCCTTGTATTTTGTAGATTTTATTCATGATGAGACATGATTAAATTAGAGCATTTTGTTTAATGAAATTAGTTTTTGCTTTGAAAAGAATGTAGACAAATTACTTTTAGTAGAAATCATTTTAACAGTTTAATACCAAGAAAAGCCACTCAAGACATAATTGGCGTCTGAAGCCGGCTCTCAACCAGTCCATGCCAAATTGAGGCGAAACATGCGTCTCATTGCTACTCTGAAGTAAATTTATAACTATTGTCTAGAAGCTGGACTTGTGAGTGTAAGCAAATGACACCATGCAAACAATTTGGATAAAAATGAGCAAGGTTTTGATTAAACTTTCATGTTTTGTAAACATGCAACACATGTGGTCATTGTTAAATTCTAACAATGGCGAAAAGAAATTCAAGAAATGTGAGTGGACATCTCTGAACTGGCAAAACTATCGTTGCAGCCCCAAACAATGACACATCTACAGGAAGCCACCCACATCGAACAACAAACCAACTGAGCCAATAGCCGACAGCGCTGAGCCGCTCAGCTGCAAAAAAAGTTCCTCTGTGATTTGACGGCTGTCTCACAAATTAGTCCTGTCGTAGGAATCACTCTCCAAGACCAGAGCAGCACATGGTGTTTCTGATTCCATGACGCAATGGAGCATGGAAAGGCTACAGTTGTGGTGTGAGGGATACCATCTGTGCGTAAGGAACTGTATGTGTATGTACAGTTACCAGTGAATGTCCCTTTATTTGTGTGTCGGTGTGTGTGTGTGTGTGTGTTGCCTACTTGTCTGTGTAAGTGAGAGTAGAGGAACAGGGAGACACACCAGATACAGCATGAAAGCAAACGACTGGCTTTGAAACTTAAACTAATCCTCTCTGCCTCAATGATGCAGCATATGGATACTGTCATCCTAACAGCCTCTATAAAAAGAAACCTTCATGGTGCACACGACTAGTTTGCCCGTACTTAACGCAGGTGCAGGTTAAAATGGGCTACGCTCCTATTGCAGAGGTTTTTAGAGAAATGTGATGTGGTTTGGTTTTAACTGATGTGCCTGACCAGTGCTAGATTCTAGATAGATTCTTGACACGCAAAGAGACCCATTTAAAATCAAGCACACCCTGGGTACAGTAAGTGGAAGCAGAGACTTTGACCCCGGTTGCCTGTCATTGGAGTGTGTGTGGGGCCGAAGTGATGAAGACCAGGGCAGAATCAGAGCTGCCACGTAGAGAGGATGGACAGCATCACCTCCACACACAGCAAAGTAGGACTGACACGTCACCTTGATCCAGAGAAACACGTGTGCACGCATAGATGCAAACGCATGTGAGGAAACACCAGCTTCCCACTTCAGCTACATAAGCCTACACACAAACACACACACACACACAGAGCATGCATGTCCACAGCAATGAAGTGGTTGTGCACACACTGTGAGACATGTGTGAAATTACCATGGTTTGTTTGTAAACCTCATGAACACAAACAGCTCCTAAAGGTGCTGTAATGTCACAGTACTCATACACACTGAATGGTCTACTAAGCCTGATAAGATGCCAATCACCTCAGGTTTATCACATCCTTCCTAATTTACAGAGCTAATGTGCTAGCTGTTCACCATCAGTGCTGCTGTTGTCGTGGTTTAATACCACAGCTTACAGTCAGTGTTTACATTTAAATAAAATAATTCTAATTTCACATTAATTCTGGCATTCATTGTTTTAAAGTTAGACTAATAATGTTATGATTTAAAAAATGTTCTGGTGCAGTGATGATGCCAAATTACTATTTACACATATAGTATATTACTTTTGATGATACAATAGCACAGAATTTGTAATCCTTGGGATCAGGACCACAAGTGGGGTCACTTTCTAAACACTGTAGATTGGGTTATGGGACATTTTGTAGATTGTGTCTACAATTAAGGGAATGTTTACATTATGAACATTTTATTGGTTATTTGTTCAATTAATTATTAATGATTATTTTGTCTGAAAAATTGTCAAAGATATTCAGTTTACAATGGCATCCATGCAAATCTTAAATTTTAAGAAAATCTGACCAGCATATTTTTACTAAATAAATAATAATTCTATCTGATTAACTAATCAACTGAACACGATATTTATATTTTTTAGAGATCAACAATAATTACTGGTCATCACTGGGCTGATTTATCAATTTATCACAGTAGAACAGTGTATTTAGTGCAACTATGAAGCTCTCTGCAGAACAAAATTGACACATATTAAGTGAAAACATGCCCTACCCAAATGTGTGTGATAACGTGACATATCTCTTACTATGGGGGTGATAACAGGATCAGAAGCAACGAAAGGTTTAAGAAAAAAAACAAATAACAAATGACATCAATAAACATGTTAAAGATATAACTCTTTGCATTATAGTGGGTGTCCCATTATGGATGATGGTTCTTAGACTGATGCTGCTCAAATGTACTTGTGACAATATCCTTGAACAATTTGGCTCTCTTTACGCTGGTCGTTCTTTTGACTAGCTGAATCCTCCATCACAAGCGACCGTGACAGCGTGGTGTTTCGCAAAACAAACCACTTCCAGGTGGACAAACAAACACACTGACAACCCTCCGGCCCCCAACTTGTCGTGCAGTGCAAGGGAACAGTTTTTACTGTTGCACAACGTGTGTGTGTGTGTGTGTGTGTGTGGTGATGGCTGGGCATCCATGGAGGCACTGTGAGATACAGGCGACTGTTTAAACAAGCAACCAGCCAGCAGCACAATACAACTAAACAGCTGACAACAAAGGCTGTTTAACCAGACCCCTGTTCTGTGTGCAATCGTCTCAATGGGAGGCTGATTGACTGACTGGCCCTTCACACACACACACACACACACAGTAGGCCAAACAACACAGTGTAGGCACATGACTGTATTTCACTGCACGCGTATGTGCATCTAATAACACGTTACGTGTGTGACACTGTGAAAGATTTACATAGCCACATGCAGCTTTTATTTTGTGTGTTGGAGGTGTAATTGTCGTCACCATCCAGCGTCAGATGCTTTGTAATAGAAAGTTCCATAAACAAGATCCCTATCTTTAACTTTGTGACACGTGTGCAGGTGATTTTTTTTGTTTGTTGCTTTTACACTCTGCAGCAGTGATGAGTGCACATTATACATGTGTACGCTTTCATGTACAGTACACAGTCAGCAGCACATTGTCAACAGAGTGTATCATAAAATGTCTTATTAAAATAAATACATACAATTCTGCATTGTGTAAAAATAGGGAAGATGATATGCAGGAGCCCTGTGTAAAAGGAAATGACAATATGGAAAGAGCACTAACCATAATGCTACAATAAGCTTTAATGTGTATTTACAGGCTCAGGCAGATCATTTGTAAGTTCTATTAAGCAGACTGTTTTTTTTAAGCTTTGGAAGACAGACAGGAAATGAAAGTTACCTACAAGACGTCTTCCGGTACAGCACAAACCACTACAAATGCAAGTTTGTAGCATAGGTGACAATGCTATTGTGCTATAAATGTTCCTGTATTAAGTCATTCTGATTTCAAATCCTAATGATGTAGGTATTACAAAAGGAATTATTTTTTTAATAAGTGCTCAAGCTTCTTAATGACAGCTGCTTAAAATGTAGCCCTCCTATTTGGATGGTGTAATGTTGACATTTACCATCATATCACCCAAACCTTATTCCGAGATTAACTCTAACCCAAACGCTGATTACAAGCAGACTGCTTTTAGGTTTCACTGGATGTTGCCACACTCAGTGAAGTATTATTTGACAGCCCCCTCTTCTGGTAAAAATGGAACAATGTTACAAAAGTTAAAACAAGGTGCAAACTCTTGATTTCTGCATGTACACTCAGTGATCACCTTATTAGGTACACTGGTACAATTTATTGCAATTCAATACGACAGTTTTGCCATAAATTATAACTTTATGTCGTTTATAAGAAAATGAGACGATCTGCTGAGTATCTGATGTCATTTATTTCTGCTTTACTACATGACTGTGATGAAACAAACAGCAACTTAACTTGTGTTTCTTGCTTTTCAAGTTAGTCATGAAGCAGACTACATAGCTGTTTTTAATGTTACATGACCAGATATTTCCATACCTTGTATTAATATTGATACCAGAGTTATTCAATGCATACTTATTTGGCGAATGAAGCTGTACATAGTTGTAGCAGCTGCAAAGTCTGTGTTTGATCACTCAGTGACATTCAGCCCTGCAAACTCTGCCCTGATAGTTGCTGAGCCTTTGGACATGGAATTTACTCTGGAGGAACTAAAGTCCCTCAGAAAAGTTCTTGGTTCCCTGGGAAAATCCCTGCAGTAGAAATTCCCTCTATGTTATAAATTACGCACAGTTGTATGAACTCTCAGTCTTACCTCCTCTATCATGGTGTCCACAGCATCAGATATTTCCGCTTTAGTAGCGTCACTGGCCACCATGTTCCTCAGTCTTAGGCAGTATTCTCTCAGCTATGAGACACGGTGAAATAAACACAACAGTGAGCACTGCTTCACAGGTACGAGAGCTTGATTGGGGTTAACTGAAGAAAAAGGAAAGCACCTTATGATTAAGGATGTCATTCATTCTGCGTGAGGCCTCTGAGCTGTGTGACTCTGGAAAGCATTTCTTTGGGATGACGCCATACTTTTCTAGAGACAAGACCATATAAAACACATTAAAATAATATTTTCAACCCAGGCAGAAAACATGTTCCCCCAGTGTTTTTAGAACACTGAAATATTTAAAGTACATTTTTACTAATCACCAAATACCTGGAATTGCACAAATTACAAGGGTTAGTCAATTAATCAACATGAATTTCTTGTAAATGTGATGTTATGTGCTGTAATGAGAACTAACCAATGAGGTTGACCAGCATGTCCCACTGTCCTCCGTCATTGGTTGGATTGGAGAGCAGGAACTGGACCAGGCGTCCGTCCACTGGCTCCTTCCTCTGTGCTGTCTCCACACAGGCCTGGAGGAAGTAGTAGCAACGTTCAACCTGTAGAAAAAGGAACAAACACAACAGAGAGACACGTGAGTAAACAGAGAAACTGCGAGGGGTCTGCACAATCTAATAATGTAACACTACTGTATGTAATGAAGGCACGTAGACTTGAATGAGACACGACTACTGACTAGGCTTCGACCTCTGAAACCCTCACTTGACTTGGGACACGAAACTAAGAACATTCAAGCATCACACATCTTTACCTGGGAAAATCCCAGAACAATAAAACTGACTAAGAGCATGTGAAGCAGGCACTGTATCATCACTAATTATTAAAACATGTGTCTTTAGAGGTCAAACAGCTATTAGCACAGCTTTGAAAGCCATTTAAATGGTCAATATTCAGACACAGAGGCCTGAATTACTTGAATTGGCAGACTTAAGACTTGACACCTCTAGTGTAATGTGATAAGCTACTGGCTTACGACAGGATATTGTTAGATCTCGACATCTCCTTTTTTTAGAACTAGTATTACAGTCATTGTTACAGCCATGCCACACTGCCCGCAGGAGCAGTTTATATATATATATATATATATATATATATTCTGTGACATATTCTACAGATATAGACATTGAAACTGTAGTGAATCGTGTTCATGTTGCTGGAATAATGTCAATATGAGTATGAACATCCTTTTCAATGTCTTTTTTTGGTCGGAACCACACGTGGCTCGTGGGAAAAATAGACAAGACCTCCACTCTCTAGTGTAGCATGGCTGCAGCTGTGCCTGAGACACGCTGCTCACGCAGGCTGTGTGTCCAGGCCGTAAATCCCTACGGCTGGCATTTGTCACAAAGAAAGGTGTATTTATGCTGGACCAACAGTCTAAACATGTGGGAGAAAAAGACACAAGGCCAGAGAGTGAAAGAGACAGAGAAAGATAAAAACAATAACAGGAAGGTGTCATTGTGACGTCGACCCTGGAAGAGCACTGACCACACAACAAACAAAAGAGGGTTTTAGGTGGACAATAACTGTATAGTAATAGAGCCCTACATAATAACACACACATACACACACTCACTCAGTCACACACGATGTCCCGACTGCAAAACAACAAAAACATCCATTTACCAGAACGTTACAGCCCTAATAACTTAAAAGGCAAAAATAAAATGATCAAACCAGAAATACACACACAACTTATTACCAACGATCCCTTCCACACACACACACACACAACATGAAAAAAAAACAAGATTCTGAAACATATACAGCACATCTCTCAGCCCATGAAGAGTGAAACAGCACAATGAGGAACAGAGAACAGATGCGTGCTTCAGTGTCTTACCTTGTCCCAGAAAAAGAGATAGGACTGACTAAACTCAAACTCCTCTATGTTAAACTTCTTCATGAAGGGAAGTCGCATGACGTTGAGGCACGAGAAGATCCAACATCTCCCTAGTGATAAAAAATAACAACGATTTAGAGAAACATGCAGGTTGGTAAGTACTTAATACATGTGCTTATGCAGGCAACAGCTGGGTTGTTTGTGCTCTAACAAACTTGTGTGGATGTCTTTTGAAGCTTGCCACAAGTTTCAAGGATGATGTCGGCGTTGGATCGACCTATTTGAAGCAAGTTCTATGTCTCTCTCATGCTACTGCTACCATTTATCAGTTACAAAACCTATATGGTCTGCTTTGGAACATGGTCGGCACTGGGCTGTCTCCAGGTTGCTCATCCGTCTCTAGACTTTTTTCCCCAAGACATTTAGAGTATTTTTGAGGCAAGGCTAACTTTTGTAGCCTACACTATATCCACCAACACATAATGAGTGGTTCCAGCTGCACCACTCATGGTGGCGTGGTGGTTGTGAGGCACTGGAGTCCACGCAGCAAAACACCATTCGTTGCCAGAAAACAGCAGACTTAACACACGCCATGTGTTGTCAGTGCCAGATTTTAGTGTGTCCTAATTGCTGTCAAGAAATATTTAAAACAACACATTTACAGTTTGAGCAAAGTTTTGCAGCTTGTGTTTTCTGAATTAAAATGCAGACTTGCTGGCTGACGGTGTGTGAAAATGTCTAAATATAAATTCCATTTATTTCAGAAATACCTTCCCTTACCAAAGTGTGCTGAATAACATTTGGTTGTGCTCTGTAATGTTGTGAGGACTTGTATGGAAATGTCTTCTCCCTGTGTAAAGTGTGCATGGAACTGAATGTTGCTGTACTACATTGGGTGCTACCTGAGTTTTTCTGGTTGGTGACGGGCTTGCCCTCTGTGGGGATAGAGTGCTGGAAGATGTGCACAGTATCCTGGACAGTCTGCCGGTGCAGACAAACCTCCAACGGGTCAATGCAGGTCGACACATTCTGGGCCAACAGGTAGCGCGGCTCGGCCCGCAGTCGCTTAAGGAAGGTGGCGACCTTCTCCTGACTCAGACCTGGAAACGCAGCAAGGGGGAGGTAGAGAAGGAAGGATGAAGGGAATGAACGGCTAAACAGTGAAGGTGGGAAGACAAGCACAAACAAAAGCTGACTTGTAACAGGAACACTTTACAGCTTGACGGACTATAACCGAGAGGAGGAATTTCCTGCTGTCCCAGTTCCCATGACTCATCTGTGCACTTAAGGCATACACACTTCCCTCTTAAGATGGGATTCATGAGCACTCACATACTCTCAGATGTCCCAGAAATGCCTGGAAAATACCAGATCGATAAGTCATAAACTACCAGCAGATCCTTTATTGAATACTCAAACCGTCTGCTACATCTCTTTCTCCAACATCCATACAGTGACTGCAGTGGAGAACAGTCCATTAAAGATATTACTGAGTACAATTATGATTAGAGCTCTGATAAAAGTGAAGACAAACAAGGAATAAATCAAGACCGCTTTCTAGTGGTGCTATGAGAGACCCTTGGGAGCTTGGGGCCGACCAGAGCTCGTTGGTACCACTCATCTGGCTCCATCTGTGAAGAGGAACACACTGAAAAGCTTGTTTAGCCTAATCCCACTGGACACTGGAAGGAGAGGCGCACACACACTCTGACAGAATCAAACCGGCGCTGATATATGGTTTGTAATTCCGTCAAATAATGGTGCAGAGCAATTAAACATTGAGAGGGACATTGCCTAGTCACGCGTGCTGCCTAGAGTCCGACCTCTCTCTCTCTCTCTCTCTCGGCTGCATTCTGTTATTTTCCATCAACACGAAGCTGAGATGCACTGACCGCCGCAGATTAGTACAGTGTCAAACCTCGTTAACCGTCATGCCCATATAACAGGAAAAAAAAAAAAAAAAGAAGCAGAACCAGGCCTGAGGCAGAGAATATTTTGAGAGCAGGGGCCTGCATGGGGTCCCGCGTCAACCAATCACAGTTGTGCTGGTGGGGCAACTGTCAAATGTTCTGACACTTATGAGCAGGGATGGATCAGGAAGGGGAAATAGTAAGAGATGTATCTATAGTATCAGCTGGCGGCGGCTTCATCAGAAGGGTGTGTGCCGAAGAGCAGACACTGGAAACCAACCCAAGGCTCAGTCAGTTAGTGGATCAGGCTGTTATTCACCAAGTGGGGCATGAATGGTGAGGACTGACATCACAGTGGTTTTCTATGGACAGGGGCCAAAGCACAGGCTGCCAGGGTGACCTGCACATTTACACATCATAGGTTCCCACAACTGGCTTTATATTAGCTAAGCACTTCCCTGTGTCTGTCCCTGCTCCATGTGCAAAGGGCTGAACTACAATTGGCATGGAGCCTAATAGTGGCGCCTCACCGTCACCCACACTGGCTGACAAAGGTCCAACGACCAGCACACTATCACACTGCCAAGGTCCATACACCGGTTCATACAATGTAGACGGATATTTCCTCTGCAGAAGAGAACAATTACACACAGGTCTTATATAAATGCCCAAGCTTACCAACAAGTAAAGTTAGAGCTGAGGTTACACACAGTGAAATCGTTACAACCCTACTCCACTGGCTCGGCTGGTTAAAGGTTGGCAGGCAGCGTTGGTCGTTGTTCAAAGCTACTAAAAGCTGCTCTGACGGGTCAAACTACGGCGGCAAAACGGTGCTTTACTGACGACCCCCCCCCCACCCCCCACTTACACGAACCGCGACCACTTTAAAGAGTTTGACAGCTTCTGGCATTTCCAACTCCTCTCTTCACCACCGAGCGAGCCAGCGAGCTACACAAGCTAACGCGAACCCGACACCGGGTGTAGCGGGCGCGTTGAGGCGTGTTACCGGTCTGTGTCTGCGGGTCGGCTCTCGGTTGCCTCGCTGACAGTCTATCGGCCAGAAACCGTGAACCCTGGCACAGTGAACGACGGCGGAGTCATGCTAGCGGGCTGGCATGCTAACGCACTGGATGCTAAGCTAGCCCGTTAGCTATTATCTCCCGCACTCAGCTGTCATCCTCTCCCTGTCACACACTGCGCTCACCCGGGCCGGCTCAACCGAGGCGGACTGGCTCTCAACCTACCAGTTTCCATGTTTCCGTGGAGCTTGAGGAGCGTTGTGTGTTTTCCTGACAAGTCGCCGGTTCTTTGTTTATCAGTTTTCATTCACCGACAGTCAGTGGGATCACAGGGTGCGCTCGTTTGTTCTGTCGCTGGCGGTCTTTGACGTGGCGGCTGGGCCGGGCGGAGTTAGTGATCCATGTACATGAGGATTTACCCATCCCGCAGCCGGTGTGACCCCCGGGGAGACAAGTGGGAAGGAGCTACACCTCAACACAGGCCGAATTGATTTCATAAACATTGTAATTACGCCAGAAAGACTGAGGCGTAAAGGACATTCATTCATCGGGCTTATTCGTTCATTATTTCAATCACAGTGTACACTTCCAACACAGAATGAGCTGTAGAAAGTCTCTTTCCCCCACACATTTCCTTTAAAAACGTAAACACTAGAAAAGAGAACAATATAAAGATACAAATATGCAAGTATACATAACATTTGAAAGCGATATCATTAAAGTAAAACAAATGTTGGGGGTGGCAACTGTGTCATTTCTGGGTTTATAAATTGTTGGAAGGAACACACAGATTCATTCAGTTATTCATGTCCGTAAACTATCAGGTTCAATAGAAGTCCACCCTTTATTTCTGTTCTTGTGGTCCACACTATTGTTTTTTTTTAGCTTATTGGAAGAAACTTGAATTTTGAAGCACAAAATATTCACAACTTTAATTATTTTTTGCCATCTGGTGTAAAATTAGGCCGAATTCATAGCCCACGTTG